AAAAAAAAAAAAAAAGAAAAAGAAAGGTTAAATTAAATGTTTCATTTACCTCAATATATCCAAAATATGATCACTTCAACAGGTAATTCACATAAAACATTACTAATGAGATTTTTTTTATATTCTTCTTTCCATACCAAGTTTTTGAAACCTACTTAGAGCACACGTCAGATTGGACCAGGCCACATTTCAGGTGCTTCAGACACATGTGACTCACGGCTATCACTGGATGGCACAGCTCAAGGGAAACGGCGGGGCAGCATTCCTGAGCAAGGGCACCCTCAGGCCCACGTCTGGCTCATCTCTGCTCTGCACCACGGAGGGGCTGACCCCTGCAGACTGCAATTCCCAGGCTCCTGGGCCAGCTGGCTTCCATCTGGGGTTGGCCACTGGGAGACAGGAAACAGGGAGAAACCAAGGCGCCTCCCCCCTCTTTCTATGCCTCGGACGGCACTACCAGCAGGGACTCGGGTCTCCTTCACGGCTCCAGACCTCACCAGATAGGCCTTCTGTGCATGACCCTGACCCCTGGGCTGGCAACACCATCTCCTCCTTTTGTGACTCAGGGCTGGAGGTGGCGTTGGCTTCTTGCCATTGCTGATCTCGGGTTATTTAGCTTCTCAGCTCTTTTGTCATCTGGGTAACCAACTGCCTGGATTAAATCCTCTCTCTCTGGATACTTGCAGTCGCAAAGCATCTCCTCCCAAGATATTCATTAATTATACTGATTATTAGTGTAAGTATATTATATTTATTAATTAATTATAGGAAGGGAAATGAGGACTCCATCAGATACCACCTTAACCAAGAGATGAAGGGATAACATTGGCCATCACAAAGCACATCACCATCATGGACGCCCCAGTGTGATGTGCTGAAAAGGGCACATCACTTGTGAGCTGTTCTTGCCAAAAATGCACAACCTCAATCTCATCGGGAGGAAACATCAGGAAACCCAAATAGATGAGCTTTCTATGCAATAAGTAACCAGTACTCCTCAAGTCAAGGTCATAGAAGACGAGACCCAGGAAGTCTCATGGATTGGAGGAGAATAAGGAGACCTGACAGCTAGATGCAGATTCGGATCTTGGAACAGAAAAAGGACATTCGCGGGAAAACTGGTGAAATCTGTAATAAAATCTCATTATACCAATGTTAAGTCCTTAGTTCTCATTATGGTACTATGGTTATAAAAGGTGTTCATATTAGGGTAAGCTGGACAGGTGCATGGGAATACCCAATACTATTTAAAAAATTTTTTTAACGTTTATTTATTTTTAAGACAGAGAGACAGAGCAAGAGCAAGAGAGGGGCGGAGAGAGAGAGACACACACACAGAATCTGAAGCAGGCTCCAGGCTCTGAGCTGTCAGCGCAGAGCCCGACGCGGGGCTCGAACCCACAAACCGCGAGATCATGACCTGGGCTGACGTCGGATGCTTAACCGACTGAGCCACCCAGGCTCCCTGACCCTATACTATTTTTACAGCTCTATCCTAAGTTTAACTGAAATAATTTCAGAATAAGAAGTAATACATATATGTACATATACACACGTATTTTTGAATACTACATATACACAAATGCATGTATACATTTGCATAAAATGTTCAAACTACTGTGAAAGTAATCCCTCTCCTTTATAGACTTGCAGCGGTTCCTCCTTTCCTGGTCGGGGCCTGGCCAACAGGGTAGGGGATGGCCAAGACATGCAGCGAGACCACTGGCGGGGGAGATCACGCACCCCTCATTCCATCCTGGGACAACCTCGCAGAGAAAGTCTCCCAGCCCCCATTCCAGGTGTCCCAAACACTTCACCCCCAGCTGCACAGCACTGATGTGACATCCCAGAACAGTGATTCGTGGGTGGGTGCACCTCCTCCTGGGCTCGGCAAGGCAGGGAAGGGAGCCTCCATGCAGGGAGAAGCAAGCGGAGAGAAGGCTGGGGCTTCACGCACTTCTAGATGCAACCTCACCCCTGGCTGGGCTTTCCAAGAGCAGTTCCAAGCTCCTGTGAGATGGCCCTGCTTTGTCAAAGTCATCCTTAACTTAGTACCTGCCAACCAGAAGCATTTCCTGGGTGCTTTCAGTGTGGGGCTGGCAACACGCACCTTCCTTCACAGGTGAGGGGAGATGTCCAAGGGAAGACTGTGGAAACCCTCTAGCCATTGTCTAGAAAAGTCTCCAGATATAGACCTTCCCTGAACTTGTCCTTTATCTGTAGAAGATGATTCCAGAATGGAGACAAGGGCCCCTACCTCAAAGCACTCTCATCTGTCCCACCACATGCCTGATGCCAACACTAGAGAGTTTCTCCTTCAAGGTAAACTGGTTTATGGCTAGGAGCAAGTCCTCTGCGGGAAGAGATGGTGTACTTCTGAAAAGGTCATTGAATGTGAAGAGGCAGGAAAAGTGGGAAATTTTTATACATGGAAACGATGAACATCGAATTCATGAGTGGTGGCGTAGGGCTTCCACTGTTGCTGCTATAATTCATTTTTTTAAACGTTTATTTATTTTTGAAAGAGAGACAAAGAGAGACAGAGACAGAGCACAAGCAGGGGAGGGGAAGAGAGAGAGGGAGACACAGAATCCGAAGCAGGCTCCAGGCTCTGAGCTGCCAGCACAGAGCCCCATGCGGGGTTCGAACCCACGAACCGTGAGGTCATGACCTGAGCCGAAGTCGGACGCTTAACCAACTGAGCCACCCAGGCGCCCCTGCTATAATCATTTCTTACTTTACAAAGCAGAAACACAGATGGCACAGCGTTAAGATGTAATAAACGGGGGAGTACAGATGTTTATTCTATACTCAGAAGAGATGCTTATTCTATTATTCTTTGCTCTTCTCAGCACATTTCAATTATCTCACAATTCAAAAACAATTAAAATCAATTCTCTGTCATTTGCGCCCCAAAAGGGACAGTATTTTAGGAGCAGACTTGGTGGAAGACGGGGGAAACCACTGAGCACAGTGGGGGAGGCTGAGGGTGCTAAACATGAACCACCCCACTTCTCAATGGTACAAAGTCCCCCCAGGGGTTGTACTTCCCGACGTCCAAGGAGATTACCAGGCTAGAGCCAAACTGGCAAGTTGACTCGGTACAGGATGAGACAAAGAGATAATCGATAAAACCGCATCCATGAACAAACAGATGTACGAATGGGAATTTAGGC